ATTTACACGACAATGTATAATCTTAGAAATATAAACTATTGACTTGTTGCGCCCCCTATCATGTTATACCATTGCTGGTCGATTTGCATGCCATTGGAAATGTTTATTAAATTATTACCACTGTATTTCATTATTTCTATATGTTCTTTGAATTTACGTTTATATATATTTTTCTCACAGTGTAGGATTTTAATATTATTTCTATCTATTTTGCAGTTACTATTTTTGATGTGGTTATACCAAGGTGAATTATCATGTTTTAACCGTATGGCAGCTTCATGTTCTTTTATCCGTAATTCCAAAGTTCGCCCCGTTTCACCTATGTTAAATAAATCTTTGTTTCCATCTTTAGATGCTCAAAAAGAAAGTGTTAAATGATTTTACAAAATAATAATTTAATTTTTTAAATAATTTTTTAATAAAGAGAAATTAAAATAACTAAAATTCATTACTTTAATTAAACAAGGAGCATTCTGGAGAGGTTGTAAGAGATCTTTAATATCACTGCTTTCAACAGTGGCTGATTCACTAAAATCTAAAATTTCATCTTTCAGTTCTAGTTGTGGAAGTAAACACTCGTAATCCTGTCCATATTTAGATTTCATAAGCATAACCGGAGAATCTCTTTCCTAGAAAAATTAAAAAATAAATTTATTAATTAAGCTAGTATAATAAAATGTAAATTAACAGAACATAAATCATTGATTTTATTTCAATAATTAATCATAAAATTATTAACTAAAATATTATAAACAGTCATGTTGGACTGTAATGAATCAAATCATTTTTCTATTTATAAAGTTACAGTTTTAATTTAAAATTTATCTAATTTCAAATTAACAATTACTAATCAATCATTAACTGTATTTCCTACTATATAAAGCAGGGAGCTCACACTAAAATTTCTCATTTTAGATTATTCTTGTTTTATTGATAAGAGTAAGTGGTGTAGTAGTTTTGTCTCATCCTACAAATCCATATCTCATTGCTGTTCTGGATTCAATCTCCTTTTTCTTAATAATTTTATTTTCATTTTTACATGTACAGTAAAGTGGGTTATATTTATTTACTATCAAATTAAAACTGCAACTGTAGATATTCAAACACTCAATACACCTTTGTATGCAGCAAAAACTTTTAATTACTGTTTTTGATCCTATTTAAGGACCATCTTCGAGTGAAATAGAAATTAGAATGAAATGTAAAATAGAATGCTTACAGTTAATAACAAAAAAAATATTCTAGAACATGGAATGCTGGACAATTTAATTTAAAAGAATTTAAATAGAAAGAATAAAAACACAAACTAAATACATAGATATAGATAAATGATAAAAATATGTAAAATCAGGGAAATATACATAATAGTAAATAAAATAAATAAAGATAAATATCAGGTAACCAAATAATGTTTTTTCAAATGTGGAAAAAAAGCTTGATTTTTTGTTTAAAATAATTTTATTCATCAAAATATTCTCCTTCACACATTCAATTACACTTTCCTGATGGGAGGGTGGTTTAAAAATATCATTTTAGCGTTAAAAATTAAGCTACTTCCTTGTTTATAGCTGTGTGATTTGTAAATTGTTTTCCACATATGATTATCCAAAGATAAAAAAATGTAGTAATCTGATGGAGATAAGCCAGCAGAATAGGAAGGAAGATGTAACAGTTCCCATCCTAATTGCATTATTTTGTTTCTTGTAATTGCTGCAGTGTGAGTAAGCATTATGTTGCAAAAACAAAAAGACAAGTGACCAAAGGCTGTTTTAACCTTAATTTGTCATGTACTCTGAGCTACTTGTACAAATCTGCTGTTAGAATTTGTTTGACCAATGTTCAAGTACTTGTGATGAACATAGATTTTTTTTCTGGAGTCATTCAAATCATTTATAAAAAGGATATTTTCAAGCTGCTCTCCTGTTCAGAAAGTGTAATCGAATTTGAAGGTAAATATTTTGATGAATAATATTATTTTAAATAAAAAATACATGCATTTTTTTATTCACATTTCAAAAACGACATTATATGGTTTATTTGGTTACCTGATAGAACAGAAAACATTAATTAAATAAATGCATAACAATAATATTCTATATATACAAATGAGAATGTTTGTTTGTTTGTTTGTTCTCTATACACTCTTAGGCCATTCGACCAATTGCTACAAAACTCGGCAGTTACATTTATATACCCCTAACTTAGATAATGTCATACAACCCCCAAAATATCTATTGGATTTCTGTCAATCAATTAATTTCTATCTGCATTAATTTGTTGATTTACACATAGCACTATCTATTGGCAAGAAATTTAGCAAAATAATAAACTGAATATAATTGTTATAAAAAATTATGTAATTTTGAAATATATACAGGGTGTCTCAGTTAAACATTTCAGAACTTCTAAGAGGGGTAGGGTGCATCCCAACAACTCGGAATCATATAGCAATGCAGGGTCGGAAATGCTTTCCTGAAGTGGTGATGTAAACAGAAACAGCTAACCTTTGGTGCAGGCTTGCAAAGAAATTATGGCTGGGAATATGCCTCATCAGATATCGTTCCATATACAAGTGCTGTGCAGCTGGCCCACTACAATCTGCAGCCCCGTACACCAAATGCATATCGGCTAACTCTGTGTGAGACAAGCAGAGGGTCAGGGCTTAATCTCTCCTGACCACTTACACTGCACGGGCAGGTAACACTGGGTCCCAGTCTCTGAGTCGTCGGATGGCTAGGAGGGCAAAAGTAAATGGGGAGTGCGTTGGTAAGCCGGCAGGTGTCTTTTCCATGACAGGAGACAGGTTTAACAAATAAACAAAGCATTTATTGAATAACTAATGTAAGTTACAGGAGGCAAAAATAAAACTAAGGTTAAATGCGGTTATACTAGACTATTTACATATAATGGGCAACTATTCTCATCTATGTCGCTTGCCTAACTTTAAGGAGAGAGAGAGAGAGCGATTTTACAAGTTCTAAAATATCCCCTAAATACCTCTCAGAGTAATGGAGAGTTAGCACAATGTCTGTATGGAAGAGGTAATAGTCCTTGGTGTCTTCTGTCTGGTGACTTCTCTGACAGGATCCAATTCCTTTGCATGGAGATTGACTGGCACAAGTACAGAAATAACTTCTGTGAGCGGACGCATGCTGAGCTTCCGGGGGCTCAAGCTTTTATTCAGTTGTCGTGGAAAAGGAGTCACATAATCGTCACTTGTTGACATTAACGGTGCATTCTTGACACCTATGTGTCAACTTTCCCAGCTAATTGTTATAACAAACAGTGACCTCCAATATAATTCTCACCAGGAGCGTTTTTTTTTATCGGAGTTGTTTACATTTTTTTTCCTGACAACTGCATTAAATTCGTGGATTTCACATCTGTGTCCTTGTGAGAAATGACGATTCCCTGCAAGAATGCTCAGAACTTTCGCGCAATGCCAACTACTGCTTCAGGAAAGTATTTCCAACCCTGCATTGCTATATGATTCCGAGTTGTTGGGATGCACCCTACTCCTCTTAGAAGTTCTGAAATGTTTAACTGAGACACCCTGTATATTATATACACTTAATTACTGCAACAATGATATAACATGAAATGATAAACACACAATATATTTACTGTGACAGGTAGCACATAGCACTTGCCGGCATGTAATTGAAAGCGTTACCCTGTAAAAAAGTCTAAGTATTTAATTTTCCACAACTAATGACTTGGATTTTTTTTATTTCTGAACGGATACTTTCTTAATTCTAATAAGCGCCCTCCAGTAGCTGAGTGCATTAAACCACTGTGAACTCTGGTAGTTAGTTAGTCGTGAGTTTGGGCATGGCAAACGAGCTGGTCACGTGAAGTTTTCTGAGTTTTCTTCACCTAAATAAAGTACAGCTTCCCATAAAAGTTTTCCTGGGATGCATCTCCCTGGCAGATTGCTCACGTGTCACATTGCAGTAACCAAATAAACCAAACTAATTCTAATGAGTAATTATTTATTGTGACATCGTCACAATGCTGGCCTGCAACTTTTCATCCCAATGTTCTCAATTGTTTTAGTGGTTGTTTTGCCCCTGTATAGCATACTTTTCTGTCAGCAATGGATTTGTGCCGATCATTTATCTAACTTCATTCAGGGAAAAATTTTGAACTGAAGTAACGTGACATCCATTCCAAACCTGAAGTTCCTATAAAGTTAATCTGGACTTCCTGTCCTAAGCTTTCCATATTAGGTCTCAATTTTCATGTATCTAACTCCTTTCTTGAGATTGAGGAAGGACAGACAGACAGACAGACACAGTCGAAATTTACAGGTCTACAATTTTTTCACATTGCAGTCCAATAATTTTTCTATAAACACGATATTTATGAAAACATACTTCCCACATAATTTATACAATCTGTTGCAAAAATGTAAACACTTTACTATAACATAAGATACTTAATTAATACCCAGCTAGATGCTCCTTAACCTAGGCAAAAACACCTTCTCTCACCCAGAATTATTTATTAACCGTAACCAATGTTTTCGACCCGTTCTAGAGGCCATCTTTGAGTTTTTAAAAATCACAAAATATTGATAACTGTTCTTTTTTGTACAGAACAGTTAAGAACACATTTAAACTACAAAATTCTTTGGAATATTGAAATATTTGAATCAAAAGAATAAATTACAATAATATATATATATATAANATAAAATAAATACATATAGAGTTAATTATTTTTTAATTATTATTTACGTAAATATAATAAAAAAATATATATTTGTTTTTTTACATAATGCAAACATAAAAATATACTTAAAAAATAAAATAAAATACACATATAATAAGATATAATTTTATATGCTTGTGTAATGCTTTAATTGCTTAAAATAAAAATAAAATAAAATAAAATAAATAGCATGCGAGTTATGCAAAAATATAAAGCAAGCGAGTACTTACGTAAATAAGATTGCTATAATAGCGTTCTTTTAAGTTGTATAAGACACTAGCATCATTGAGGTAGGTTAAGTTGGACATATCCTCTGTTTTTTCAAATTTTGGAGGATTAAGTTGTTGTAGTAGGTCCTTTTTGAGTGATCTCTGTATATTGGAATGGGGGTTGGGGTGATGAAAGGATATTGGGTGGTGTGAAAGTGGGGGAAGTGCCATTGACAGAACACCACGTGGGTAGGATTTGAAAATTGTAGGTAATTTTTTTTTTTTTAAAGAAGTGAAAGGAAAGGAAGGGATAGAAAAAAGTACACATTAATTAAAATAGAAATGGTAATAAAAATCTACTCTACTTACATAAATTAAATTTTGATAATAACGATCTTTCAAGTTGTACAACACACTGGCATTGTTCAGATATGTTAGAGAGGACATATCGTCACATTTTTCGAACTTAGGTGGATTTACTTGCTGTAGCAAGTCCTTCTTCATTTCTCTCTATATATATATATATATATACACACACAAATATATATATATATATATATACATAATATATATACATATACACACACAATATATTGTTTATTAGCTTGTACAAGTTGATCCAAATGTCAGATAATTCAAGAGTGGGAGAGTTATATGGGAACAACAACATGGTGAAGAGTGCCTCCCAAATGACCATCAGACTCCTT